TGTCAAGAATCTTACAATTAGAAAATCTAGGGGACTTCCCAGGTGGTTTAGCGGCTAAGTCTCTGATGAGGTTGGCTTGGGAGATGCTGAAACCAGGCGCCACCTGTCACTCCAGCCTGACAGCTTGGGAGTGCCAGGCACAGCCGTGCTCTGAGCCATGGGGACAGCAGTTGTGGATGGTCCCCAGGCTGGCCTCCCCCAGCCTCAGCTGTCCCATCTACAGAATGGGCAGAAGGCAGCCAGGAGTGCCCCCAGCAGCAGAGGGAGAAGAGAATGGGTGTCACCCGTCAGTTCATCACTCCCCCTGCCCCTGCTCCCAGCCACGTGAGCTCAGAGAGAAATCTGGAAATGGCCTGGGGAGTGGTTAGCTCAGATCTGTCCCATGAGGGGACCAAGAGAAGGACCCAGGGTCTGGGTGAAGCCCTCAGTGGTGGCCGCCTGCCTCCACAGCAGCAGGGAAGCAAGTGGCTCTCAGCAGGTGACCTCTCCTGGGGGACAGGAGAGGTTCCCACATCTTTCTCCCACTGCTGGTGGGAGCCAACACCTTCCTCTGAGAGCCCCGCTGGCTCCTGGACCCAGCTCCGCCACCAGCTGCTCTGCCCACCTGGGCCAACCCCTCCGCCTTGGTTTTCCCATTTGTGAAATTCTGGTTTGGTTGGCTCAAGACAAAGGAAGACTGGGAAAGCTGTGGGGGACCAGTGCCGTGCTGGCCCATTATCGCCCACAGTGCAGCAGACCTGCCTGTGGAAGGAACACCAGGGTCTTGGCATCCCTGCCACGTGGGTTCCAGATCTGCGGGGCTTCAAAGGGAAACTCACCCCCTGTGGCGAGTGATGAAAACAGCCCAGCAGGGGAGAGGTGACGGGGCACCGGCTGAACAAACAGCAGCCCCCATGGGACCAGGGCTGGCCTTTCCCCTGTGGTCCAAGCCTGACACCTGGGCTTTCTTTCCACTGGCAGCACAACAGGCTTATAGACAGGGCACTTGGGTGTCAATCATGTACAGGCGGGGCAGCGCTGTGTGTGTGCACACACGTACACCTTGGCACACGCCAGGAAGTGAGTATTTCATACAGGCCACACTGAGCGTGCCATGGCATCTGCACTGTCCTACTCCATGAGCAGGCTAAGAATATATTAGGAGTAGGTGAACTGCAGCCCACTGGTCCAGTCCACTGGCTGCCTGCTTTCTCACAGCTTATGAGCTGAGCGGTTCTTAAATTTTCAAATGGTTGGTGCATGGGGGCCAGAGGGGGGAAAGAAAGGAGAAGAATACGTCATGACCCGTGAAAATGATATGAAATTCAAATTTCAGTGGCTGCAACTAGTTTTACTAAGGCACAGACCCATTCATTCATTTGCATACTGTCTGGCTGCTTTCAAACTAAAGTGGCAGAGTCAGGCTACAGCGGCAGTTACGATGGAGACTGTAGGATCCACAGAGGCTAACCTATTTCTATCTGACCTTATCAGAGAGTCTGTGGTGCCAATGTCAGGGTCACTGGGGCATGTTGCTACCTCCCACAAAAACTTAAAGTTCTGCTGCAATGAATTTGTCAAGAATCTTACAATTAGAAAATCTAGGGGACTTCCCAGGTGGTTTAGCGGCTAAGTCTCTGTGTTCCCAATGCAGAGGGCCTGGGCTCGATTCCTGATCAGGGAACTAGATCCCACATGCCATAAAGAAAAGACCCCGCCTGACTCAACAATGAAGATCAAAGATGCCATGTGCCTCAATGAAGACCCAGAGCAGCCAAGTAAATAAACAAAAATAGATATTAAAAAGAGAAAAATCTAAAGAGAGACTGTATTCATTTCAACACATACATGCGAGCTTTGGGTTTATAACACAACTTTATATTGTTTTGTGTGTGTGTGTGCCACAATCTTCAAGATTTAGGATCTCCTTCTCATCTCTCAGGTATCTGTAGTGTTCAATATATGCTGGATACATGGTGGGTAATCAGTTAGTTAAGGTCTGTGGGATAAAATAAGGTGTGTGATTCTCTCCACCAACTCAACAACCATGCTGGCAAAACGATACTCTTGGGCATCTCATGGATGTGGAAACTGAGGTCTGGGGAGGTGACAATGGCTGCTCGAGGCTCTTCCCTGAATCATGAAGGGTGAGGACCAGATGTCCTCCCTTGATTTTGAATTGATCCTGGGAGAAGTGGGCGAGCACATTATAACACTCCTAGTGGGAGACATCTTGCGTCTCCCTCTAGCAGTTATCCGGGCATCCTAGGTCTCCTGCTGGCCCCAGAGGTTTCCAGGGTTTCCTCCCTCACTGGGGGGGTCTTGGCAGGCTTTCAGGAGCCTGTGGAGGGCTGAGTGGTTTTTTTTTCTTTTTCTCTTTTCCGGCAAATAGGGGGCAGGTGTGGAGTGAGCAGCTCCTGGAGGGGGCAGTGGGAACATGACTGACACTGGGGGATCCAGCAAGGCTGACCCATAAAAGGAATGCAATTAAGAGTAAGGGGCCCCTGAAAGGGGGGATGAAGGGAGTTTGGGGAGGTGGGAGCCCAAGTGAGGGTATGGGAAGGGAAAAGGAGCCCAGAACAGAGGTGTGGGGATCACAGACAAGCTGGCCAACTTGGCGGCCTCAAATGGGGCAATTCCTGCTTCTGAGGACTACCTGTCAGGCCCTGGAAAACTCTCCCCATGCCCAGCACTAGCTCTGAACCTGTAGAACGCTTTGTCAGATCCCTGCCCTCCACCAGAGATGGTTCTGGAATAAGCCAGAGTGAATGGGGCAGGGGATGCCCAGCAATTCTTCATCAGGGACTCTGCCTCTCTGGAAGGATCGGCACAAGAGCTCGGCGGTGACTTCTTCTACCCTCAGGATAAAATCCAGAGCCCCTTTCATGGCTTTCCAGGGCTATATGTCCAGCCCCTGCTCGACTTCATCTTTTTTTTTTTTTTAAAGGTTTTTATTTTGTATTGGGATATAGCCAATTAACAACCCTGTGATGGTTTCAGCAAAGTGACTTAGCTACACATACACATGTATTCATTCTCCCCCAGTCCAACCTTATCTCATACCACCTCCCTTCATCCACCGCACTCCAAACACAATGGGTTTGAACATACTCTGGTCCTTCCTGCCACAGGGCCTTTGCACTAGCTGTTCCCTCTGTTGGGAAGCTGTTTCCCTCAAACATTCTTTAGATTTCTAGTCAATCCTGACTTCCTCAGATGAGCCTTCTGTGACCACTACTCGACCAAGTTTATTCCATGTTCTGAGACCTGCAACTGATTATCTGTGTGGTTAATGTGTTCCCGTGCTTGCCAACTACACAGGGGTCTCCTGCATAGGCTCTCCACAAATAGACCTCTACTCTGGACCCCGGCTGTCTTTCTTTCTGGTTGTGCCACACAGCTTGCAAGAATTGAATCCAGGACATGGCAGTGAAAGCTCTGAGTCTTAACCATTGGATTTCCCTGACCCTGGTGGTCTTGCCCCTTACAGTATTCCAGCGCTCAGCACGGGGGTCTGACACACAGGAGGTCGGTAAGTCGATGATGGCATGAATGAACAAATGGTACCACCAGTGACTGCTGCCAATTCCCAGAGTTTGGGGACACAGATGTATGGAAAAGTCACAACAAACCATTTGTCATGAAGTCACCTGCTTCCACATGTGGGGACCACCCAGTAGGCACCAAACGATGTTCTAGAGTGGAGCTAGCCACTTGAACTCTCTTCGATGGTGGCAGTGTTCTGGACCTGCTGTCTAGTATAGTCGCCACAAGACACCTGTGGCCACTAAGCATGTGGATGTGGCTAGTGGGAGCAAAGAACTAAATTTTAAATTTGATTTAATTTTAATTAACATAAATTTCAATAGCCACAAGGGCTTAGTGGCTATCATGTTGGACAGTATAGCTGTAGAGAGATAGGATGTGTTCTATTATCCCCAAGGCTGTTACATGCAGTTCTATCATCTAGGAAGTCATTGCAGCTCCCTCAAACCTCCATCACTGGATTCCTGAGGGTGATCATGTCAAGGATTCTTGGCAGCTTCTAAGAGGCAGGACCCTTGCCATCCGTCACTGCCCACCAAGCTTTTCATAGAGACCACCAGGCAACAATGACTCAGGCAGGTCCCCACAGTGATGGCAAACAGAAATGCTGTTTTTAATCACATCCTCGTTTTTATCACCATCATCACCTATCACACGACACCAAGACTGCCATCAGCCTCATTCTCTTCCACCATGACCACCCCATCACGCCACTCCCAAGACCACCACCAACACAACCATCACCACTACCACCAGTTCCACAATCACTACAGCCAGTGACATCACCACCAACACTATTTCCTCCATCATTACCACCCTTCCACCATTAACACCACCAACCCCCCTCAACTGCCCCCATCGGTGCAACCACCACTACATCATCCCAACAACACGAGCTCTCAGAGCCAGCATGAGATTCTGGTTAAGAGTTTCAGCTCTGGAGACCCATTGTCTGGGCTTAGATCTCAGCTCTGAGTTTAAATCGCTCAGCTTCTGTGAGACTCAGTTTCTTCATCTGTAAAATGGGACAGCTACTACTACCAGGACTACCATGAACATGGTAAGACTGACCGTAGTGGTTGAAAAACTATCAGCTGAGGAACTGCACGAAAAGCCGTTTCACTCTGCTGATTGAACGCTAATGATCTTCTAGGCTCTGTGCTCAGTGAGCACAGTTTTACTTAACCCTCACACAGCTGTGAGAGACATTGGCCCATCCATTTTGCAGAGGGGGAAGCTGAGGCTCACAGAAGCGATATAACTCATCCGCAGCCCTACATAAGAGGCTGGATTGGAAACCAGGTCTTCATCTGGACTAGGCTAGACTGATCCGTTTAGAGGGAGGGGGTTGGAGCAGCAGGTGGGCCTTCTGCAGTTCTGGGTTCCCTCCTCAGGGAGGCTGGGGGCATTTCTGCGTCCTGCCACGATGGTGATGGTGGTGGTGGTGGGGAGGGGAGGGCTGCGAGTCCACTCACCTGTGTCCTGGCGAAACTGGTGCATGGACTGAAGGTCAATGATGTAGGGCACCAGCTGGGCGTCCACTTGTCCCAGGACCACGGAGCCCCGGGCATCCTCCTTGAGCACGTTCTCAATGTGGTGGCACACAGTGGCCGTGTAGGGCCGCCAGCGGCTGTGCTCATTCAGCCACTCCCACACCACCACCCGGGCCACGTTCTGCGGTGGGAAGCCCAGCCCGCTCACCGGCATCATCACTCCCTGGCCTGGCCGTGACATGGCCGCTGCCGCCGGAGGGGCCAGGACCCCCTTCTTCCCTACCCAGCTCCTCCTGGGCCTGGGAGCTGGCGGCAGGGGTGGAGGGGAGCTTCCTCTCACCCCAGGGAGGGCAGCAAGGACTGTCCGGCCTCCTTTATGTCCTCCCGGCCCCTCTCAGGCCCGCAGGCCTCAGTTAGAGGAGTGTTGGGGGCTGGGGGTGGGGGGGGGATGTTCCAGGCTCCAAGATCCCTTCCCCTCAGAGCTGTCTCCGGTTAGGTGTGTTCTGGCAAGTGTCTTTCTTAGGAAGGGGAAAACGGTGCTCTCAATCCCTGGGCTCCCTCCAGGCTCAGACGAGGGGGTGAGGCAGCCGCCTCTACTCTAGGTCCGGGCTCTTTCCTGCTGGTCCCCCCGTTCCTACTGGCCGCGGCAGGGCCTGTCACCCCCGGAGGAGGCCGGGCCCCAGCCTGCCTTCTCTGCAGCGCCCTGCCGGCCCTCTGCGCTAGCAGACCCTGCGCCTAGCTCCAGGGGGGCTGCTGGCCTTGTCTCAGGTCCGTCCCCCCTATCCCGTCCCCCGACGGCTCCTGCTGAAGGGGGCGTCCCTGTCCCCGTTGTCCACCCCCCACCCAGGTCCACGGCGTCCTGGAAGGCCCGGGTGGCTCGAAGAACGCACGGGGGAGGGGTGCGGCAGCTACTCCCGGCCCCCTGATCCGGGCTGCGGCTCCCGAGCTGGGCTGGGGGACGAGGGGGGCGGGGGCCCGTGGGCACGCCCCACCCCACTCGCGCTCGCCACCTGCCAGGAGATAAGAAGGGGAGGGAGAGGGCCCTTTAAGACCAGAGCGCGGCACCCCCTCCCCCCTTCCCCGGGAGAGCGAAGGGCTGAGAACAATGGGGAACCGATGGGGGGTGGGGGGGGCTAAAGGGGGTCGCCCGGTCGCGCTCCCTTGGGGCAGGCCTCAAGGGAGGGCTAGGGCTGGCGGCGCGATTTTCCAAGACCCCTCGCCTGCGGCGCCCCCTCCTCAGCAACCTGAGCGCTCCCACTCCCCGCTCCCGGCCGAGGGATGCGGGATGCGCCGGGAGGTGCCAGGATGCGCGGCGCTGCAGGCGCGGCCCAGGGCCCCTCAGGGGTCGCGTCACCGAGCAGGCGAAGCCGGGAGCTGGATCGCCTATGCCTCCCGCCCTGCGGGGAACAACCCTCCGCCCCCAGGCCAGACCTCCCCAAAGCGCGCGCGGGCCTCCCGAAGGAGCCGGGGGTGGGGTCCCTGGGCACCCCGCGCTCTCACCGCCTCTCCCCGGTTCTGCCTCCTTCTCCGGCTCACGCTTCAGCACCGCCGCCTCCTGGGCTCCCCCCGGAGTGGGAGGGAGCCGCGGTCCCGCCTCCGCGCCCTTTCCCTCCCAGGCCGCGCGGCGGGGCACTGGGCTCTCCGCGAACGGACAGACTACCCAGCCGACCGACGGACGCGTGAGCCGGCGGCCGGACGCCGGGATCCCGCGGGTGGGAGGCGGCCGTCGCTGCGCTCAGGGGAGGGAAGGGGGAGGGGGCGGAGAAGGAGGAAGGGGAGGAGACAGATCGCGGCCCTAAGCACCGCCGGCGCTGACACGCGAGTCCTCGGGCGCCCCGTATCCTGGGCTAGGCCCACCTGGGACCCCCGGAGGCTCCCTGGCCCCAGCAGGATTCAGGCCATGGGGTGGGGTGTCCATTTGGTCACCTGCTTGAATCTGAATCATTTTTACGTTCCAGTTGCCCAGTCCAGGGCCAGGTACACAATAGATGCTCAATAAATGCTCTAACGGATGTATTAGGATCCAGAGGTTGTTTAAAGATCTTAAAGCGTTCTAGGGTAGGCTTCTTTCCTCCTTCCACTCTTCTGGGGGACGGGAGGGAGGAGGGTCTGGCAGAGGGAATCATGAAATCTGAAGTGTACATATGGGCCCACTGAGGCACAGAGAGGGTAAGAAATAAGCCCAGGATCACACAGCCGCTTAGAGCAATGCTCAGACACCACTCAGAGCTGATTCTCCTCCCAGTACCCAATTAGCCAGCCCAGAGCCAGCTTCCCCCAAGACAACTAACCCGCTCCAGGTAAGTGGGGGTAGCAAGAACATCTTGCCTTCAGGAGAGTGGGGGGACCTAGGCCAGGAGGCAGAGACCTTGAAGGAAGGTAAGGGTAGGTCCTCTGTCGTCTCATTCAGGGATGCCTGCTAACAACAGGTGCTCAATAAACGCTAGGCAAGGGCAGGCTGGATGGACAGGGAGGCAGGTGGCCGCAGCAGCACAAGTGTTAATGGGAGGGCCAGCTCTCCCTTGTCCAGCAAGCTGGATGCAACTGAGAACACATCATCTGGGCGGTGGGGGGCGGGGATGGACCACGCGGGGCCTGCGGGTGTTTAGATTAGGGAAGATGAAGGATGCGTCCGGGAACTCCAGCCTGGGTGGCAGACGGGGGTCAGCGGCCTGCTTGGGAGCCTGCCCAGAGCAGCCCACGCTCCTCTTCCTCTCCAGGGCAGATGGTGATAAACTAGGCAAGGTCAAGGGCAGACGGCTCAGGGGAGCTTTCCCAGAATGGAACTCTGGTTCCCCAGCCAGCTGGAGTGACCTACCCACCCTCCACCCCCGCCAGCTCCCCAGGGTCCTGCTGTCTCCTGCTGTCCAGTGCTTGGGGGGCTTTTCCAGATCGGATCATGATTCTGTTTGCTTGTGCCTCCACAGACTAAAGACAGAGGCTGTGTTTGAGGGCAGGGCCAGCTCTGAGGTGCTACTGTGCCAACGGGATGGCTGAGCTCTGGAGTTGTAGCCTAGGGTCCACTGATGGCTCCCCTGTCCTTCCATTACAGACTTACGTGTCTGTGCTTTCTTTCTTTTTTTTTTCTAGAAGGGCTCTGGCTTTCTGCAGATTCTTCTCAAGGGAGGCTGTGACCCATAAGATTTGCAGCTGATGCTGAACAACCTTATATTACAGAAGGGGGTCTGGGGACCTCAGAGTGGAGAAGCTGGCTAAAGGTCACCTGGAAGTTTAGCAGCAAGTTGGAAAGAAGAACTCAAGACTCCAGACTGTACGATGCTATTTAGTGTCTGATTGAAGGTCATCTCCTCTGAGAAGACTTCCCTGAACTCATCCCATCTTCTGCATTACATCGCATATACCTTGAAAGGACACCCTTTATTGCAACAAGTCACTTCAGTGGAATCTGTCCCTGCTAGAGTGAGACATCCTTGAGATAAGGGACTGAGTCTTATTCACCCTCGTGTGGTATGGCTGGTGTTTATTACATAAGCATTGTCATTTATTGAGTGTCTATTATGTGCCAAGGTGCTTATGTAATGCCCACTCCCCTTCACAATTGTCCTACAAGGTAGGTAATATTGTCTTCATTTTACAGATGGAAAAAAAAAAATCTCCTGGAGCTCAAAGCGGCTTGTCCAAGTTCCCCCAGGGAGTGAGTGGCAGAGCTGGGATTTGAATCCAAAATGCTTTTGCACCTCCTACACCACCAGTGCTGCCGTGGTGTTTGTTCAGCATCCAGCTGAAGGCAGCATGGCCCTCACGGCGGGCCCTCTCAACTGGGCTGTGGAGCAGCCGAAGTACAGAGCCTGGCTCCCCCACCATCCTGGGAGAAAGAAACTACAAAGAGAGGAAAAGAAATTGACCTTCATGGAGCTCATAATCCACTGGAGAGATGGCTCAGACACCAGTGGAGGAGCCAAAAGAACAAACTCAATCCATCACGAACTCTTTTTAAAATGTATTATGTATAGGAATGACACCCCTCATAGAAGAATCCCAGGATTTTCTCTTCTGTGTGTTTCTGTTTCACTTCCTTGCAGCCATGATACTAGCTGAGGTCATCGGTGCAATGAGATGAAAGAAGATGCTTCTGTCACTTCTCTAGATCTTTGAGTGATACGTCAGATTCAAGGCTAATCACACTTACTTAACCTGTGTGTGAGTTTCGCAATGATGTTCTTGCTCCGTGATCATCAATGATTTCCAATTCACCCGTGTAGCCATGCTTCATCATCACACTAGAAGTCATGTAAACCTTTCAAGGAAAGACTTCCACTACAAACAAACAACAATTAAAAGCCAGATGATGACTTCGGAGCACGGCCTAAATGAACTTGGAGTTTGTCTTTCTTCTCAGCATTATCAATGTTCTTAAGGACATTCATGTGCACTATTATAGCAGCATGGAAAGATGGCATAAAGAAATGACTAATTTTTTGTTCTCATATCCATCCATCCATCTATCCATCCATTCATTCATCTACTCATTTATGTGTTCAGCTGGATAAGTACCCTCCCTTTCTTTACCTACCATCCCTCCATCCATCTATCCTCTCATTTATGTGTCCAAAATATACTGAGCCCAGCCCTTAAGCCAGGCACTAGGCTATGCAGGGAGACCCAGGAGGTAATCCAAACAGCATGGTTCTGGCTCTTCTATTTCTCAGAGTCTAGTGGCAGTGTGAGCCATGAATCAAAGAATCATTTTAAGTATGATTGCAAAACTTTGCAAGAGCTATGAAGAAGTTCAGGATATTGTGAGGGCCTCTAACAGGGGTCCAATGAGGTCTAGGGAATCAGGGAGGGCTTCTCAGGAGGTGACATTTCAACTACTCGCCAACGGATCCACAGTGGTAGTGTGGATAAGCCAGTGGGTGGAGGAGCGGGGATGTGCAAAGGCCCAGAGGTGGGCAAGAGTTTGGTGTATTAAAGCAGCAGAGAGAGAAAGCTGGAGTGACCACTGAGAATCAGGGGTGAGCCTGGGGCAAGTCGAGGTGGGCAAGGTCCCCACGCAGGGCCTAGCATGGGTTTGAGGTTTTATCCTGAGAGCCATGGAAGTTACTGAAGGGAAGTTTTTTTAAAACAAACTTTTAAAAAATTTATTTACTTCTTTTCGGGTCTTCTTTGCTGTGCTGGGTCTTCACTGCTGCGCACGGGCTTTCTCTAGCTGTGGCGAGTGGGGGCTACTGTTCATTGTGCTGTTCGGGCTTCTCGTGGCCGTGGCTTCTCTCATGGGAGCTCTAGGGTGCTTGGGCTTCGGTAGTTGCCAGCTCCAGAGTGCGGGCTCAGTAGTTGTGGCACACAAGCTTAGTTGCCCGGGGGCATATGGGATATTCCCGGATCAGGGATTGAACCCATTGCTCTAGTGGTGAAGAACCCGCCTGCCGATGCAGGAGACGTAAGAGACACGGGTACAATCCCTGGGTTGGGAAGACCCCATGAAGGAGGGCATGGTAACCCATTCCAGTATTCTTGCCTGGAGAATCCCATGGACAGATGAGCCTGGCGGACTACAGTCCATAGGGTCACAAAGAGTTGGACACAACTGAAGTGACTTAGCACCCCTATATTGATTGACAAGTGGATTCTTAACCACAGGAGCACCAGGGAAGTCCCTGAAGGGAATTTAATGCAATTCAAATTGTGTATGAAAGAGTCTGAAAGTAACCAGAGTTTATTGAGCAACTACTGGGTGCCCAGTGCTGGGCTAAATCCCCTGGAGCGGGAAGTGAAGGTGTGGGAATTGTTCTGTGGGACATAGAACAAGCTGGGTGACCCTGAAGACCACACCAACGTCATGTACAATTGGGGCATGAGCCCTGGGAGGCAGATGTCAGCCCTGCCCTCCACCCCGAGGAGCCGAGTGAGTTAAGGCCCTTCTGAATTCTTCTGTCCGGCTCCCTACATCCTGGCCCGTGGACCAGCTGTGACCTTTCCCTCAGCAGTAAGGGGAAAAGTTTAAGTGGGAAACAAGAAACAGAGCAAGAAAGACTCTTTACATGTCTTGGGGACTGAAACAGGGCCCCTGGAGCTCAGAGCATTCTACTGAAAACAGGAGACTACCTCAGGGCTGCAGGACGTGAGTAGGGTGGCAAGTGATAAAAGGCCATTCACTACCCGCTGAGAACTGGAGGTAGAATTAGAAAAATGCCGGAATCGTAACATCACAGCTGGCCCTGGTGGGCGAGGAGCATCCACAGGCACCGAGGCCTGGGTGGGACCTGCTGTGATGGCTACGTGTCCAGATCATGAGGTTGCAGATTCCTGAGTCTCACCCTGAAATTCAGGTCCAGTGGGACTTGCACTGGGCCTGAGCATCTCTGTTTGAGATGAACGGCTTCTCTTTGAGCTCTGGGTCTCACTCTGTTTGCAAGGGAGAATCTCCAGGGGTGGGCGTGGAGTGCTTAAAAACTATCTATGTCCCAAGCCCCACCCTCAGGAACTCTGACTTAATTGGTCTGGGGGTCCCGGCATCAGTAGTTCTTGGCCAGTGGTCCTTTCCTGGATTGGAGTGAGAGAGAGAGGGTGAAATCAGCCCATCCCCACGTAATTGGGCTGATAATACATTATAGGAGCTCTCAGCTCTTGTTTGGGGCCATCGACTCGTTTATCCAACCAGAAGATGTTTATTGAGCATCTACTATGTGCTACACACTGATCCAGGCACTGGGAATGTAATAGTGAACCAAAGAGTTAAAAAATCTCTGCCCTCCTGGTGCTGAACTTCTAGTGGGGTAGAGGGCAGAGATAGGTGGTAAACAAAGACATAAGTAAAATACATGGTATATCAGAAAGTGTAAGCACTGTAGAGAAAAAGAAAGCCTTCTTAACACGTCTGGTGGGGATGTGAATCGGTGCAACCAATTCACAATGTGGAATTTACTCTGGCTTTCTCTCCCAAAGCCGAGCCTGTCCATATCCTATGACCCAGCAATTCTACACCAAAGTATAAGCCATGCAGAAATGCTTGCCTATCTACACCAGGAATTACATGGAAGGATATTCACAGGGGTGCTGTCCACAGTGGCCAAAACTGGGACACACCCACGTGCCCATCTATGGGAGAGCAGATGAATAAATTCCCACTGCGAAGTACTACTTGGCAGTCAAAACATAGGAACTACAGCCATAATACATCGAAATGTGGATGAATATCTGAGATCGAATATCCCACAAAAAACGCCCTGTTACATAAACACGAAATCCTTTCTATCGAGTTGAAAGCAACTAAAAATATATACACACATATGCAATAATAAACTATAAGAAGGAAACAAGGGAAGAATAACTAAAGGATTCAGGATGAAGACTATGGTGAGGGGATTATGGAGGCAGGGAGAACCATCTGGTTAGATGTAGGTTATTGTCAAGACTGTAGCTTTTGTTTGGATTTGGCGTTTTATATCATTAAATTTAGTAATTAAACACTGGGACTTCTCTGGTGGCCCAGCAGTTAAAAGACTCTGTGCTCCCAATTTGGGGGACCTGGGGTTCAATCCATGGTCAGGGAACTAGATCCCACATGCTAAGTAAGACCTGGTGCAGCCAAATAAATAATTAAAATTAAAAAATAATTAAATGCTGATGAGAGTGGGCTATAAATGAAGGATTATAATTACCTCTGTCTTTATTTTTTGTGAACTTAGGTTAAAGAAAAAAAGCAAGAAAGCAGGAGAGGGGCTGAAGCATGCTGGTGGTGGAAGATGGGCAGCAATTTTCAAACAGCTGGACAAGGGAGGTGTCATTGGAGTGACACCTGAGCCAAGACTAGAAGCAGGGAGGTAGCGACCCATAGGAGAGAGCTAGGATGTCCTAGGCAGAGGGCAACGAGGGTGCAAAGGCCCCAAGGCGGGAGTGTGCCTGGAATGCTCTAAGAATAGCAGCAGGGCCCGTGGGCTGGTGGCAGGGCGTGGGGGCATATGTCCTGTGTGGAGGAGATGAATAAAGCAGGCTTTGGGGAGAGGCTGGTCCAGGGTCCCCAAAGAGCCCAGATCCTGGGTCTGCTCTTCTCAGCACTTTGCTGTTTGATTTTTTTTTTTTTTTCTTGGATTCCATGAGACACTTTCATTTCCTTGAGGTAGTCTCAATGGGTTTCTATTCATTGCAACCCAGTGAGTCCTGCCTGGTTAAATCACTGACCCTGTCTGGTCCAGAGGATCATGATGCGAGTTTCTTCAGGAAAGGATCCTTAAGTAATAAGTGCAAAGTCGAGAGGGAGGCGATGGGAGATCAGGCCAGCATCAGATACAGGACAAGGAATGGCAATTAGCCCATCGGTTGAGCGCTTTTCTAAGCCTCAGGGATTTTTATTAACTTCTTCCCAGCCTCCTGGGTATTAACATAGATTTTACAGATAAGGAGACTCAGACCCCCAGGAGGTTATGACATACACAGTGAGCAGGTGAGTGGGCAAACCCCAGGGCTGGTTGACTGCGAAATCTTTGCACCTGGAATAGGAGGTCTCTGACCCATGTCAATTTCCGTGTTCCCTTATCTTTGGGTAACCTGGGGGCATGTGAGTTCTTACACCTCTCGGTCTTCTCCAGCCCCTGGGGAATCTGAAGACTGGCGGGCAGCTAGGCAAGGTGGACGCACTCTATTCAAGACCGGCGGTATCTCCAGCAAAGAGGGAAGAGACCCAGAGAAACCGCGGGGTTGAGTCGGCTGTGGGACGGCATGTGATGGGGGTGCCATGCAGCCCTGGGGCTTCTGCCAGGCTGGTGCATCTGGCAAAGGCGGGGAGGAGAGAGATGCTCTTAACTTTCTCCAGGATCCTAGGGCATTCCCCCCGCCCCGCCCCCTTCCGCTAGAAACCGTCAGCTGGCTCCGCTGAGTGGAAAGGGCCGAGAGGGCCGTGAAATGAAACGGGAGCATAGCGCCTCCTGGTGGCCATTGTCCAGCTATTGCTCTAATGCCGGAAGGATTTCCAGGTAATTCATTTTAATTTACTTTTATTGTGGTAAAAAAGCATAACAGAAAATTTATCATCTTACCCATTTGTAAGCGTACAGTTTGGTCGTGTTAAGCATATCCAAATGGTGTTCAACAGATCCCCAGAATGTTTTTATCTTGCCAAACTGAAATTTTATACCCATTAAATAATTCCCTACCCCTCCCTACTCCCAGCCCCAAGCTATCACCGTTTTACTTTCTGTCTCTATGAATCTGACTACTTTAGATACGTCATATAGATGATATTATATAGTATGTCTTTCTGTGACTGGCTTATTTCACTTAGCATGATTTTCTCAGGATTCTTGCTCCTTGTAGCATGCGTCAGAATCTCCTTCCTTTTTAAGGCTGAGCAATATTCCAT